TTTAGAATGATTCACTAGACACTGAACCCCGCATTTAAAGAGACCAGTTTGTCATCTACATTTTTTTTGTTATACATTATTCTCGCCAGGAACACTACCTATCAGAACATTGACATTATAGACCGGCATAAGAGATCCATGGATGACCATTAAAGATGTGTGTCTCCGTTTAATAAATTGGTACATAGGAGTTAAAATGTCTGTTTTGCAGAGCCACCCATATGAGATTTTGGTGTAGGAATAGTTAAACACCAAAGACTTGGACATCAAATGCTTGGATCTGTGCAAGACAGTCATTGTATTTGAGCATACACTGACTTATGATGTTTAGAAAAAGCATTAAAGAAATTATCCCCAAAAAATAATCGCAGATGCATATATTTGAGCTATCTCTATGAAGTAATTTAGATCATGTATTCTGGTGTAGATGTGCTGTCAGTGAAGCCGGCATGTCTACATCATAGAAGTGTTGGTAGGAGAATTCTGTTTAAAGGGCGGAAGCAAGGTGTGACCTTAGTGTGGGTGTTAAGTGTAGAATAACCTATGCCCTCCAAGAATGAATGGGCTGGAATGCTGGAGATAAGGTAAGACAGTAATAGCTTCTAAAGCAAATACATGTATCTCTATGATAAATTATATGTTTACTGCCTTAGGAGCTGTGATTGCTTACGTTGTTCCTGTTATGACAGATTCTTTCTAAAATGGAACTGTCAGGTTTCTGAAATTAAATATTGAAAATCACTTATAACTTTTACTCTTTTGGTTTCTTTTATGTGTGTATTAATTATTTAGCAATTGATGTCACAATCCAGTTCATTCCTAGCACAACCACAGCACACAATACAGCGGAGGCAAAGGAACAGAAACATTGTTCTCTCTCTATGTTAACTGACAGGGGCATAGGGCAGCATTCACAATGATTGACAGGGTGCCAAGATCAAGGTGCTCTGTTCCAGGATAGAGGTAAATACTGCAGTTTGGATACATAAATAAAATATTAAAATATTGGGAAACGAGAGTTCTTCAAGAGTCCTTGTATTTGCTGTTTAACTTACCACCACTGCATTTCATTTTATCCAAAACACAACGTGATGGACAGTTCTATAGAGAGCAGAGAGAATAGAAACCAGGATAAGTAAATACCAAATGGCAAATTACAATCAGAGCTTCCACATGCACAGGAATAGGCAACCTTCTGCACTTCAGATGTTGTGGACTATATCTCCCATGAAGACTATATCTCACATGAAGCTTTTACTAGCATTATGGCTGTAAGAGCATTATGGTAGATGTAGTCCACAACATCTGGAGTGCCGAATGCTGCCTACCCCTGCAACTAGAGTACAGGGAAACAGCAGTGTTGTAGGCTCCTGGTGGATGAAGTGCTGGGAGCTGAATGTAGAAGAGCACATTCGGGAGAACATCAGGTAAGTATGTCACCTTCAGGTAAATTGGAATGTTACCTTCAGGAGTCTTTGTAGATTATGCAAATGCTCTAAAAGGGACAGTTCCATTTTAATATTGTGAACTACATAAAATTTGTCCTGAGAAATAATGTGTTTGCTAATGTCAGTGACAACTAACCATTCTCACTTTAGCTATTATGATTTATATTTCCTGCCATGCTCAGCAATGGAAAATGTAGACTGCAACAGCTGGCCTGTCAAAGGTTATCAATCACTGGCCCATGTGATGGATGAAAAGGGAGTTTATAATGTTTGCCAGTGCCTGAAGTAGAGATTGTTCTCACTTAACAAAGAAACGCCAATTTTCGCGGGTTGGGTGATATGCTCTAAGCCAACGCGCTAAGCCATGCACTGCTAGGTTTAGCTCAGGCAGAGAGAGCAGTTAACTCAAAGAGCTTACCATTACAATCTAAAGGTTTGAGGGAGAAATACACAAAGGCAATCAAGCAATCTGTATATATTTGAAGGTTGGGCAGTGTTTTGGAAGAGGGAGCACAGTAGCTGGTAGATGGCAAGGGATGGGGTGTTAAGGAGAATTTGAAATCTGTGTTTGTTTTTTTATTATGTTCAAACTTAAAGGGACACTCCACTGCCCAAATACAAAATAAATAAAAAAATCCCTGTTTTGTAAATATACCCCAAATGAAAACTTGCATGCATTTAGTTATGTATTTCTTTCATTGGGTATATAAAATTAAATAGAAACCGTTTGCAAAACCTGCAGTCTCTTGTCTGCTGCCTTTGCAAGCTGTCCCCTTCTAACCTTTCTGTGGCTGTCCAATCACAGACTTCCCAATACAGCTCAATGACAAGACTTTATAAGTTAGGTGCTCTGGTCAATTGCTACCTCTTAAGGTCAGCTGCATTAAGTGAATGAAACCAGAAAGTACCGTAACCTGTTGTCTGCTTGAAAGCTAAGGGGTGTATCCAGGTTAATTTATAAATGTGTCAATTTTTATTGAAATGTGCACTTTTTGCAAAATGAAAAAAGAAGATATACACTTCACGAATAAAGCTTTTTAGCAAGCTAAAGTTGTTAAGGGGTCTGGAGTGACCCTTTAAATGAATGTTTTGGGTATGTTACATATTGGTAATTGTTTGTGTAATTTACTTCAGCTGATAAACTTGTTTATTGTACTTTATTTGCATTAATTAATCAAATAGAAAGTGTGTGCCCAGTTTTTGGCAGCAAATCATATGGTGTATGTAATGTTTGTTTTACCCAGGCTCTAAGTTTAGTTTGATACTTTTTTAGGGTATTGTTAATCTGTTGAAACATGTTATCAGTGGTTTATCTTGTCAGGTCATTGTAGAATTTGATAACAGAAAAAGAACTTAATTCATGTGTCAATGAATCTTATCTGCAGTGTCATGGTAAGCTTGACTGTATAGAGCATTTATTTCCCGAACGAATAATGCTGAAAAATGTGGGGTCGAAAAACATCTGAATTGTGTGATTGGGATTTTTGTCAACATCGACAACTTCTCTCTGCAGAGACTTGGATTACTGTGGCAATCTATGTTATTGCTCTGGGGTCTTAAAATTAATTGGACGCACAAAGCTTGTGAAATTCACCGTTTAATCTGAAACAAAACAAAAAATAAAATTGTTGCAGAAACTGAAGTTGCAATTGTCAAATATAAAAAAAATAAAAAAAAACCTCAAAATGTCTTGTATTAATAGTAGATACCTCTACAATAAAAACATAGGGGTAGACAGTAGTGGAACACTCTCAATTTGTAAAATGTTCCATGAATCTTGGAAGTGTGTGGCAAAACACAAAAACATTATATAAGCAGCAGATTTATCTGCTTTCTACAAATACATAGTTTCGTTGAAAGGGACACTCCAATGCCCAAATAAAAATACACTGCTTAGTAGATATACACCCAATGAAAACCTGCATGCATTTTATTGCGCAGATTTTTTTATTGAAGCAGCTAGCAAGAGATACAGATCTCTTGTCTACTGCCTTTACACACTCCCATTCTAGGCCATACCAGACTTTCTGTGGCTGTCCAATCACAGACTTCCCAATGCAGCTCAATGCAAGGCAGGTGCTCTGAGCAACTCTTACTCTTGAGTTTGGCTTCATTGAGCTAAAAAAAACAGTAACAGGACCGGTTGCATGTTTGACAACCAGACGGGTGTAACAAAGTTAGTTTATAAAAGGGCCAATATCTACTGAAATCTGCACTTATTGTAAAATGAAAAAAGAGGACACACTCTTCGCACATAAAGCACTTCAACAAACTAAAGTGCTTTAGGGTCTGGAGTGTCCCTTTAATACTTTGGTTTCTGTGACTGCTATTAAACGTATAGTATCAGCAGACACAACTTTAAGGTTTAGTATTAAAACCATATTTTACTCATCATCCCTGTTTCATGGCAGATTGAAACTGTATCAGTATTGATCCTCTGTAGTAGTTAATACAGCTCCCCAGTCAATAACACTACCAGTCCCTCCCTACAAAAGCGAGCTCCCCATTAATATATATTGAGTGATTCTGACATTTGATTCTTCCTGTGTTAGGTTCTTACATGTAGTAGAAGCAAATTTAATACATGGTAATGCTTGGTGTAAGTGTACCGATACAAATTCAGACTACTGTGGAGTAAGGATACATAATCAGCTCATGATACCACTAGGAATTTTTACGTTTTAACATTACAAGTAGCAAACCTAGTCTGCTTTGTACATATATGTGTTTCACAGGGTTTTCGCTGTTTGTGTGGTTTTACATTTTTTAGATGTGTTTTGTATATACCTAATTAATATTTGGGATTTTTAAGTGAAGATGGTTTCATCTAGGATAGCACCTCGGTGTGGAGCATTCTCTCCTTTATATTTGTTTTGATGTAACTGTTGAGGTAAGACCTTTTTGTTAAAGGCCATTGTTTGTAAGGCACACACACAATGCCGAGTTGACTGCGTTTGAAGCCATGATAGTAAATCTTTGTCATTTATTAAATTTAACATGTAACCTTTAAAGAACAATGCATTCTGCATGGTTTAAGTGGGTTTTCGTTAATAATGATACATTTGCTGTAAAGTTAAATGCCAGCGGCAATCACATTTGATTGTAACTTAATGTTAATGTATAATTTCCTAACCTTAGAAAATAAAACAAAATGAGGAGCAGAAGTGGTACAAGAAAATGGTAACACTAACTGTTTGTTTCATGTAGAGCAATGAAAACATGGTAAGTCATTAGTGAAAGAACCCATGTTGAGAAGCAAGAAGTTAGAAACAGAAAGGCACCATAGTAAAACAGGAAGTACAAGGCATTAAAGTAAACAGGAAGGTGGCAGTGATGTACATTACTTCTAAATCAGCAAACCATTAAACTAGAAGTGACCTCTTCAAATTCCTGAACAATGTTAAATTTTAGACTGCTGTTAAAGGAACACTATAGTCACCTAAATTACCTTAGCTAAATAAAGCAGTTTTAGTGTATAGATCATTCGCCTGCAATTTCACTGCTCAATTCACTGTCATTTAGGAGTTAAATCACTTTGTTTCTGTTTATGCAGCCCTAGCCACACCTCCCCTGGCTATGATTAACAGAGCCTGCATGAAAAAAAAAAACTGGTTTCACTTTCAAACAGATGTAATTTACCTTAAATAATTGAGATACAATCTTTAAATTGAACTTTAATCACATACAGGAGGCTCTTGCAGGGTCTAGCAAGCTATTAACATAGCAGGGGATAAGAAAATCTTAATTAAACAGAACTTGCAATAAAGAAAGCCTAAATAGGGCTCTCTTTACAGGAAGTGTTTATGGAAGGCTGTGCAAGTCACATGCAGGGAGGTGTGACTAGGGTTCATAAACAAAGGGATTTAACTCCTAAATGGCAGAGGATTGAGCAGTGAGGCTGCAGGGGCATGTTCTATACACAAAAACTGCTTCATTAAGCTAAAGTTGTTCAGGTGACTAAAGTGTCTCTTTAAATCTCTAACATGTTGGAATTTGTCCAGACTCTTTGATTTTTAAGCTTACTGACAGTCACTGTGTTACTTATCCAGTTAATTGGTTCAGTTACTGGTGCCACTTGGCAACTGCCTCATAATTGTCTAGCTGAGTCTTAATTGCTTGTTTAATAGCCATTATTGTGAGGTGTGCATTGACCTATTAGGACACTTACATCAAGTGGACCTTGCCTTGCACATATCCTACTGGTTCATTAAAAACATCCTCCTGTTCCTTTTGTTAGCAGTTGTTTTCTCAAGTGTCCCTTCAAATAATGGTTTGCATTGTGAAGCTTTGCAGAGATTGAAAATCGAATCCATCACAAGAGCTCACTAGTTGACTTGGAGAATGACTTCTGCCTTGCTTCCACAATTTTAAACTCTAGTCTGAGTGCCCATTCCCACTTTGAAATTTTATTTGTGTTTCTTTTGATCCAGTCTCTTAAATTCTATTTACATTCACAATATCTGTGACCAAGGGAGATAAGTACAAACCCTTCAGAAATCCTAAATTAGAAGCAGAAATAGGTCCTGGTCACCCAGATGTTCAATATACTAACAAATAGGTTTAATTTACCTTCATCCTGGCATAACATTTTTACAAAGCTCCATATCGGTAAGCATTTAAAACAGAGTTGTATGAAATTTGGGGAAAGACATTAGTATGGTCAGATAAATTACTTAGATGCCGGTTTAACTGGCCAGCCTGCTGACTTTCACAATGGCCTATGGCTGTTCAGATTGTGGGGTATACTGTGCAAACCTCATAACCTTCTGCTATAATCATGCTTTTTGGCAACTTGGTATACTCTATAACATATGTGTGTTTTGAGTAACTATTAGTCAGATCCTTGCCTTTTTATACATTTAAATAAGACTTTTAAATATGTAATAAAAATATCAGTAAATATATCAAATTAATCATTTTAAGGCCAGACAGGAGGCTTCATATTTGCTTTACCTTCTTTATTGAAAACTTCCAGCAGCAAAGAAACAGTTAACATAACTTTTCAGAACAACCAATCAGAACAAAACAGCAGTATAAAACCACTTAGGAAGTGGGAGCACTTCCACTTTCTTTGCTGCTGCCTCCAGGTGAGCATTTTCCAACTGAGGAGACATCTTGGACCCCTCAGGTCACCCACTCTTAGATCCACGTCTCCTCATACATCCTTGCTCTGCAGAATGGCCTCCCCCAGACCACATCAGGAATTTCTCTGTTATACGGCTTCGCTGCCCTAATCAAACCTCTGATACAGGCTTCTGATCCATGGCCGCTACATATGGACAAGGAGACTTCTGGCATGGCCCCTCTCTGTTTTCTTGGACAATGTCTTCCTAGTAAGGATGAAACCAGGAGGCTTCTGCCCTGTGATCAAGCTGCGTGCCCTCAGCGCATATGTCGCATGCTGACATTTCAAGATGGAGGACATCCATCTCCACAGGGACCTGCTTTGTGGGGGAGACTGATTTTCCCAACTGAATCTGAGGACACTTATCTCACGGTACTGATCCACCATGAGGACAGGTGTTTTCCTCCAGTTTCCCTGGCAGGGACGCATCTGGCATTCCACGTGCCTTCCATCCAGGCTCAGCTCGGCACTTTGGTATTTCACCTAGTTGTTAAAGCCAGTCAGGGTGACTCTAAGGGCCAGAGGGATCAGATTTATAGCCTATCTGGCCATCCTGTGTCGGCATATGTCATTCACGATCTTCCTGCTCCAGGTCCTGGGGTTTGTCTTCAACGTGGTGAAATTGGATCAGACTCCCTCTAAACGGTCTGTCCAGTTTCTGTTTTTTTCATGGTGGATTCGGTTCAGGCGGTGCTTTGCCTTCCAATGTTCAAAGTACCAAAGTATCTGCTGTCAGGAAGAATATCAGATTCCTGCTCCACACACCACAGGCCATGTTGAGGGATCTGGCTCAGACGATAGGACTGCGGTCATCCTCCATTCAGATCAAATATTTCCATGACCCCCTACACTTTCAGGCTCTCTCCAATGCCTGAAGGCGCACTATCTCAGGTCATTGGCCTTATACGACCAATTCGTTGTCTTTCGGACGAGGCCCATCCGGAACTATATTGGTGGCTTTGACACATGGAGGCCTGGAATGGCAAGGCGATATTTGGATCCCAGCCAGACTTTGTCCTGGAATCAGAAAACACTTGTCTGGGCTGGAGCACCGCATGTGATGGCGGGGCGACAGGAAGATTCTGGGCTCCGGAGGAGAAGACACTTCACATCACCTGTCTGGAACGGTTTGCGGGGTCATTCACTAATTGTGGTTTCACCAATGGGATGAGTAATTGCTGTTTCACCAAAGGGACAACGTCTCTGCTGTCTGTTACGTAAACCGGTTTGTGGGTTCCGTTCCAAACTCCTGTTGGATCTGACAAGAGATCTCTACCAGTATTGGCTGGACAAGGATTTATCGTTTATGACTGAATACCTTTTTGGCCGGGACAATCTGATAGCGGACTGTTTTTTTCTCGACAATGGAGAGACGCCAGCATTTGGCAACTATATCCTCAGGTGTTTCTGATGCTGGACTCCCATCGAGGTCCCCTCCACCTGGATTTGTCCACATCCAGGGCGCATCACCAAACAGATTTATTCTTCATTTGGCTCCCGGATCCCCTCAGCGAAGCAGAGGACACATTCCTCCGTGAATGGCCTCCTTCAGGGGCGTATGTGTCACGACACTCCTTAGTTGATTTGCCATCGTGCAGTACTCACACTCACCACTGTTTCTGTTTGGCACTGTTCCTGATTTCTTTTCATTAAGCACTTCACCTGGTCGTTGTTTAGCACCTATTTAGTTTGGGTTCTCCCCTCACTCCTTGCCAGATCATTGCCTTTTGTTTCCTGTTTCCCTGGTCTCCTGTGTTCCTGGCTCCTTAATACTGTGACTTGGTCCTGTGTCCTGTGTTCTCCTGGTCTTCATCCTGTGTCCTCCTGGTCCTTCGTTGCTGTGTCCTCCGATCCTGTGCTCTGGTTCCGTGGTCTCTGCTTTACTGCCAGTGATCCTGTCCCTGCAGCCTTGCTCATTTATTCGACTTCTGGTGTTGCTTCTTGATGTCACTACATTAGTCTTGTGACTCTCGATCTGTGCCCTACCTGATACTCGTGGTATCTGCACAATCCTGCCCTTTTACCAAAAGGACTGTTTCAGTATTTGTTGCCTGCACGATTAGTGCTTATTCTTATTTACTGTATATATTTTATGGCCTTGCCTGTGTGTGTGTATGTATATATATTGTTTTGTTTTCTCCTTTTGGTTCCCTGTAAATATATATATTTCTTGATTTAACCTATTCATTTGCGTCTTGGACTTTATTTATTTGCCATATTGGTTCCCACATTTAAAGTGACAGTGCTGCTCCAGGGCAGCACCCCTTCATGTCATTACAGCATGCATTTCCCCTCCTTCTCCATGATTTTCCAGACATTGCACCAGATCAAGCTTCTGAAGGTGTTGCTTCCCCTGATCGCGCGGCTTTGGAGGAGTCTGCCATGGTTCTCTCTACTGCTGGAATTATCGTACGAAGACCCGCTACTTCTCCCCGTCTCCGAGTTGTGGGATCCAGCAGGGAATCCACATCCGTTGGTATTAGAGGTCATCTGTCACTGGTGGCCTGGACCGTTTCTGGGGTTCCTGGAATGTGTCAGGCCTATCGACAATGGCTAGATAATTACTCTGGGACTCTTGGGCGTCTGGCACCAGACTATCATATCTGCACGCCTGGCAATCCTGGCATGGCTGGTGTCTGGAGAGATGTTTGGATCCCTTTACGGCCCCTCTCATGGCCGTGCTGAACTTCCTGGCCGAATTGTTTTCTCAGGGTAAGTCATATAGGACTTTTATGTCTTCTGATCGGCTATCTCGGTGACTCACCTGCCTTCTCAAGGTTCTGGCATTGGTAAGGACCCTTCTGCAGACTGTTACGTAGTGTGAGCCTTTTGAGGCCGCCTACTTCTCGCTGTGCCTCATTTTGGGATGTTTCGCTTGTGTTGCGCTTCCTTGAGGAATGGCCGGATAACGGGGACTTATTTCTACTTTCTGAATAGACCTCGTCTCTGTGTGGCGTGTTGTCTATGGACGTATCTCTCTGTGATTTCATCTTTTCGGCATTCTGCCCATGAGCAGCTATTGATTTCGTACGTTCGATCATTTAGGGCTGTTTTGCACCTTCGTTGTTGGATTTGATGGCTTCTTTCATCTGCTGCCGTGGCAAGTTCTTTTGGGCCTCATTCGGTTCGGGATGCTGCAGCTTCAGCAGCTCTAGAAGCCAGTGGGTCCCGTACGGATATTCTGGGTGCCGCTGATTGGTCTAGGGTATCGACTTTCCATACTTTTTACTTCCGTCTGCGATCTCGTGTTTCTTCTGTCTTTATGTCTGGGCGTTAAAATTGCAAATATGAAGTCTCCTGTCTTGCCTTAAAATTAGGGATTGTTCTAGCCTTGGTGAGGGAATAATCTACATTTTATTATTTCCCCTCCTCCCCCTTGTTTCCCTCCCTAAAATATTTTTTTTTTTTTTTGCCATTGTGTTCATTGGGGGTACTGTATTATTTTCAATGTATGGTCTCAAGTTTGATTACTATATTAATTTTATGTGCTACAGTTTTGGTTGTCTGTGTACATTTAATTTCTCATGTCGTACTTCGCTGATGTACTAATGTGTATGGTGTGACATTCTGCTCTGGCAGTTTACTTTCATGATGTATCCTTTTCCTTGCAGTGTAATCTAGATTTATTCTGGCTATGGCAGTTTCTCATCTAAGTGTGCCTGTTACAGTTGGATTCTTTGGTCTTCATGCTCTCCTACTCGACCTCATCAAAGAAAGAGGAAGTGGGAGGGTCTGCCTAAGTGGTTTTATACTGCTCTTGTTTT